CTAAATATCCTAAACTAATCTAGTCTCATTTGCCAGCATTTGGCCCATATCTCTCTAAATGCCTCCTACTAATATCGCCATCCAGACGCCTTTTAAATGGTGTAATTGTACCAGCCTCCACCACTTCCTTTGGCAGCTCATTCCAAATATACACCAGCTTCTGCGTCAAAAAGTTGCCCCTTAGGTCACTTTTAAATCTTTCCTCTCTCACCTTAAACCTATGCCCTCTAGTTTTGGACTCTGCTATGCTAGGGAATACCCTTGGCTATTCATTCTATCTCTGCTCATCATGATTTTGAACAAATGAACAAATGAAAAAGTATAGCACTGGAACAGGCCCTTTGGCCCTCCAAGCCTATGCTGACCATCATGCCCTAATTAATCTAAAAACAAGCCTGCCATTTATCGAACTGTATCCTTCTATTCCCTCCCTATTCATGTACCTACTAGGTGCCTTTTAAATGTCTTCAAATGGTACCCACTTCCATTACCTCTTCTGGTAGTGCATTCCAGGCTGCTACAGCTCTCTGTGTGAAAAACTTCCCTCGCACATCTCCCTTAAACTTTCCCCCTCTGACCTTGAACCTGTGCCCCCTGGTAATTGAAACTTCAACCCTGAGAAAAAGCTTCTGATTATCCACCCTATCTATGCCTCTCATAATTTTGTAGACCTCTGTCAGGTCTCCTCTCAGCTGCCGTCTTTCCAGTGAAAACAATCCTCGTCTTTTTAACTGTTCCTCATAGTTAATGATATGTTAATGCCCTAGAGACCAGGCAGCATCCTGGTGAGAGATAGTAGGAACTGCAGGTGCTGGAGAATCTGAGATAACAAGGTGTAGAGCTGGATGAACAGTTGGATGCAGGCCAAGCAGCATCAGAGGAGCAGGAAGGCTGACTTTTCGGGCCTAGACCCATCTTCAGAAATGGCGGGTCTAGGCCCGGAACATCAGCCTTCCTGCGCCTCTGATGCTGCTTGGCATCCTGGTGAACCTTCTCTGTACTGTCTCTAAAGCTTCCATATCCTTCTGGTAGTGTGGTGATCAAAACTGCACACAATACTCCAAATGCGGTCTAATAAGGGTTTTATATAGCTGCAACATGTTTTGCCAACTCTTGCTTTCTTTTCTTCTGGCTTTTGTATGTTGTGTCTGTTGTTCGTTGATTGTAGAATGACTTGGTGGTTCTACATGTACTACAGAGTCTGAAAATTGACTAAGATCTTTCACCAGATAATGTTCTATTTTAATAGGTGTTCCAGTTCCACAGTTCTTACATTTGAGGATACGAGAGCTGCTCGCCATTTTATTTATGCGGTCATTTCCCACCAGCTGAATTTGGGAACATTTCCTTCTCAAAGATTCCATTTTTTGCTTCCTTTTATTGAAATCCCTGTCATCGTGAAATGTAGCTTCTCTTTATCACATGGATTTTCAAACAAAAGCAATTCATAAATAAGAAATATAACTTTTATATCAGTTTTTGAACATGGGTTTGTTGCATGCATCATTGTTTGTATATTGGGCTAAATCTTATAGTGGCTTGAATGACTAGCTACGATGAGATTTGTGGACAATCAGTCAAGAAATCTGGCAAAGTCTATTTCGATGTCAGGAGCAAGTCACTCAACTTCTATGCTTTTGATGGTGGCACAATGAGTTTCTAACTAGGCAGAGGCGAGTTGCCAATAAAGAGAGATTATGCTTGTTAAATGTCTTGTTGACAGCTTAATTCATCTCATTAATTTTTAGCTTCCTATCTTACCAAACTCACCAGACAAACTGGACCTTGAGATAACTTGACATGGAATTCAGAGCCGATACCTGTGAATTCAGCTTACCCCTTCCACTGAAGAACCTCCATGTTGAATATTGGACACCAACATCCTAAGTTATACTTTATGGGCACAGCAGCACACATGCCATATGCACAGACATTGGCATCCAGTGTGTGCCAGTCTATAAAAATCTTCATAGCTCATCTCCAATCCATTTACGTGATGCTTCTGCACTTCAGTGCTGCACTTTGGGCGGTACTGGCAACTATCATTTCATTACTGCAGTAGGGTCACAGTGCACACAGAGCCACAGCCAGCTCATGGACTGGACCAGGCTGCATTTCCAGGCTCTTTATTTGCTGTCACAGCATAAGACCATAAGATACAGGAGCAGAATTAGACCATTCAGCTCCCCAAGTCTGCTCAACCATTCGATCATGGTTGATACCAATCCCATTCTCCTGCCTCCTTCTGTAACCCTTGATCCCCTTACTAATCAAGAACTATCTATCTCTGTTGACTTCACCTTCCTTTATTGCCAGCCTGGTTGCAGGTCACTCATTCCTGATGATTTGCCAGCTGCTGATTCTAACACCTACTCGTGTCCATGAAATGTGCAGTACCATTATCTGAGTAGTATGTAGCTGTGTCAGAACAAATTACAGGGCTTTTTCATCAGTGATAAGCTGTTGCTCTCTTTCCGCCTTTTGGGGCTCTTGTGGTTTCTTGGCCCTCTTCAGAAACTGAGAATCTCTCCTCAGGTTTACATGCATCATTAATGCCTTTATTGCTGCATCAATCATCATGGAATCCTCACCAGGTCCTGATGCTTACTTTACAATAAATTACATTGCAACAATATTTTGGCACAGCTTCCCTTTAAGGCATAGCTTGCCTTTAAAAGGAGCAGCTTAGCTGTACATGTGCGAAGGCAATGCTGCCACCCTCCCTCCACAAACCTATTGATGCATCCAATATTTACATTTGGCTCAAAAGCCCTCAAAATAATTTAGCTTCACATCAAGGCTTTATCATCACTTTTTTATTGTATTGTGATCCTGAGGTCTGGACAAAGTAAATCATCCCATGTTGTTGGCAGACACATCTAGATTTATACATTTTGTTTATGCTGTAAAATTGTGTACTTCTTCCCCAATACCAAATTTTCTCTGCTGCGTTTCTGTTGATTTGTTAGCATTAAAATTGCCGCAGTTCTGATTGCCTCTGATAGCTAGAACTCTGCCAATTTCCAACTTAAACATACTCAAATACTGAGTCTTCCTGTAGGGTACAGAATTATTTTTTTCTTTATTAATTTACAGGATGAGGGCATCGCTGGCTAGGCAGCATTTATTGCCCCTCCCTAATTGCCCAGAGGGCAGTTGAGAGTCAACCACATTGCTGTGGGTCTGGAGTCACATGTAGGCCAGACGAGGTAAGAACAGCAGTTTCCTTCCCTGAAGGACACTCGTGAACCAGATGGGTTTTTCCAACAATCGACAATGGATCCATGGTGATCATTAAATTCTTAATTCCAGTTATTTTATTGAATTCAAATTCCACCATCTGCCATGGCAGGATTCGAACCCTGGTCCCCAGAATGTTATCTGAATTAATAGTCTCACGATAATACTACTAGGCCATCACCTGCCTTATGACGTTCCAAAGGTCACAATCTTCTGAGTAAAATAACTCCTTCTTATTTCATACCTAGGTGGCATCTATCTTATTTTAAACTGTGGCCCCCGGCTTTAGATGCCCTGAGATGAAACATCTTACCTGCATCCACCATCTGTATTCCTTTAAATATTTTGTAGATTTCAATGAGATCACCTCTCATTCTTTGAAAGTCAAGAGAACACAGATCCAGTTTGCCCAATCTTTCTTCATGGGAGAGTTCTGCTAATCTGCAAACAGATCTGATGAATCTTTGTTCCAGCTTCTAAGGCAATAGTATCTTTCCTAACATAAAGAGACCAAAACTGCAGAAGGACAAAACTAACAACCCAGTGAAATGGCCAGCTTCCACAAATCTACCTCCTTGGCCTCTGAGGAGGAGAGTACAAAGGCCTCTGAGGAAGCATCCATGAGGTTAGAAAGCACGGGAACACAATCTGATGAGCAGCTCACTGCAACAGCTTGGCAGCTGACTGCGGAAATAAATGCCCCAGTCTGCTGACATTAAAGGACTACAGGAGACCAGGCACCTGCTCAGCTCCAGTTGGGAGAAGACTCTGTAATATCGGCAATCAAGTACTTTGTCCCAATGCACAGGCAGGAACAGGAGCGGCAGTCAGGCATGTGGGACACAATGGCCCTTCTGGTCAGAAGATGAATCAGTGCAGTGAGTCATGCAACCATCTGGTTATATCTCCTTGGACTGGTTAGTGACTGCTATGGAGAGTCAGATCCAGCATTGTCAGGGTCTGCTGGAAAGGCTCCTGTACTGCAGTACCCTAGCCATAGGTCCTTGTGAGCAATTGGGGGAGCAGAGAAACTGTTGAACATTCCAGGTGATGCTTCCTGACAAGGACACAGGGCAGTACCAGGAGTCACTAAGACAGAGGAAGAAAAACACAGCTCCCTCATAAATCTCCAATCACCACACTCCAGAGGTGACTAGGCCATCCATCTTGACTCTGCTTGATGGTCAATTTAGAGATACGTGTGACAATGCACATTTCGTTATTTAATACTTTATTTTGTAACTGCCACTGCTTTCCCTTACTTCTGGTTGTTTGTCTCCCTGTGTTGTCCTGAATGTAACTGTTCCAGCCTGAGGTATAACTTCATGGCCACTCACAATATACCACAAATCGGTCTGTGGTATTAGCCTGTTGCAACATCTGGAAGCAGAAGGAGCTATACATATAAAGGACAATGGGTCATGCTGACACCATTGTTACTTGCCCTACAACATGCCTATTCCATTCATGGCCTCAGTACCCAAAGGTTTTGTGTGAATTAATTTTTCAGTGATGTCTGAGACAGGGAAGAGCACAACAAACAATGGGGCAATGCATTTAGGTGGCCAGGGATTAGTGATCCCACAGGTCTATGTCCTATACAATTTTTGAGTCTGTGTGTAATGTTCTTTTCCTTTAAATACCCTCACATCAGTGAGTCTTGCAACACCCTCCCTCACTGGTTGAAATACCCAGCCTACTCACTCTGATTGTGGTTGCAGCTATTTTCTTGCCCTCGCGAACATTTGATATCTAGCATGATGGGAAGAGATGGTGAGTTTTCCTAGGTTAATGACTTCCGCCTTCCACCTTTAATTTTTGTGAGCTCCCAAATTATCAAGACCCCTTGTCCCTCATTCTCATAGGCTTCACACCTTCCCTGGTCCCACTCAACCTATGTACATTAGCCTGGGCCTGCACACTTTTCCCTCTTAGCCCCTGGCATATCAGGTGACCATGCCAAGTGTAGTTATACACTGTTACCCCTTTGAAGCCAGGTACTCCTTACCGTGAACAAATCTCCCTTCCAAATTACCCCAATTCATCCACTCTTTACTATATCCCTCCACTTGCACATACTGTTGCCCCATTTCACAATTGTCATCCACCCCACCTGCAGCCAAAGAATAACTTGCCAAATATTTTTCCTGCAACAACGGACTGCTTCATACCCTCAGCTTGACAACTGCCTGTTCTTTAATTTCCATGGATAGACCCAATGTCCGTGGTACATTCCCTTGAGTGACATGACCTGACAGTCCCAGACAAGACGTGCCCACACCCCTGACTGGTGTCTCTCTTTGTCCCTGACTATGTTCACTCTATCCACTGGACTGGCTGCTATGGAGCCACAGAACAGATTGTGCCTCACAGGTAGTAGGAACTGCAGATGCTGGAAAATCAGAGATAACAAGGTGTAGAGCTGGATGAACACAGCAGGCCAAGCAGCATCATAGGACCAGGAAGGCTGACGTTTCGGGCCTAGACAAGTGCTCCTGTTCTTCCTCCCACCTATCCCCTCCTCCCACCTCAAGCCGCACCCCCATTTCCTACCTACTAACCTCATCCCGCCCCCTTGACCTGTCCGTCCTCCCTGGACTGACCTATCTCCTCCCTACCTCCCCACCTACACTCACCTTTACTGGCTCCATTCCCGCCTCTTTGACCTGTCTGTTTCCTTTCCACCTATCTTCTCCTCTATCCATCTTCTATCTGCCTCCCCCTCTCTCCCTATTTATTTCAGAACCCCCTTCCCCTCCCCCATTTCTGATGAAGGGTCTAGGCCCGAAACGTCAGCCTTCCTGCTCCTGCTTGGCTTACTGAGTTCATCCAGCTCTACACCTTGTTATCTCAGATTGTGCCTCATGCTCTGGTTTGTAGAGGTGTGGATCCCTGACTGAGAACACTCAACATTTGATATCTGACGCTGGCCAAAAAACCTGGAATGGTATTGGAGGCTGCCCTTGACTCACTCTGCCAGGTCTACCTAATTGACATGTTCTTTCATTGACTTCAGTGAGGACTACTCCCCTAAGTCGCCAGAGTTTCAGAGGATCATAGGGATCTTACTAGTCTTACTGGAGTGGTGTGTATTAACATTGTTGTTGTTAGGGTTGGAAGAAGCATGAATGGCTTGTAAGGTTCTGCATGACAACATGTTAGTGAAGGAAGGGTTGAAGAAGGTGAGCGGAGAATGGTTAGTACAGTTGTATTAGCCAACAGTTCATTTCCCATATCATTATGGTATAAATATTTATTGTGGCTAACAAAATGTTTCTTGCCATCTTTTTAAGAGGGCATAAGTTTAAGGAGAGGAGCAAGTGATTTACAGGAGATCTAAGCAAAGATTTTTTGACCCAGAGGGTGGTGGAGGCGGGTACTTTTGCAATATCTAAGATCTGGATGTGTACTTAAAATACCTTAGGCCATGCACTAAGTACAAGTAAATGGGATTAGTGTAGTTCGGTGTTTGTCAGTATAGATATGGTGAGCCAAAGAGACCGATTCTATGCTGTATGACTCTATGACTCTATAGCTGCTTCTTCTCTGCCAAATGCAGGTTTTGAAGACTGCTTCAACCCATTTTTGCTAGGTGTACTACTGACAAGTAGAGAAGCAAAAGACTGGAATTCCTCATTGCACAGTTTGGGGAGCAGTGAGGCAGCCCCAGGACTAATTTCAACAGAGGGTAATGTAAATGCAGTTAATAAACAAAAGCCATGGGAAAGTAAAGATTCTGCAAAACTCTTTCTAGCTCTTTAAATTTAGTTTTCTCTCGTTTTCCTAATCATTGACGGAGTATCATTTGGAAACTTGCAGGATGAATAAAATACAGACATCACTGTATGAATAAGAATGAACAATTATAGCATATATTAAATGGCCGCTGATATATGAGGGAAAATAAATAGGATGAAATTGATCTGAACAGTATTGCAAAACAAATGTTAGTGGAACAGCAGCCATTGCACACAACACCTGTGTTTCTTTTCTATTGAAATCAATTATGTTAATCAAAATTACATGTTAAAATGATTTCAAGTGACAAAGTATTTTGTGGGTTTGTTGTTCTCAGCACCAGATACTTTCAGCTTTCAATCTTTCACTTTAAGTATTTATTTATAATTTTCAAGCCCAAAATAATTCCATTCAAACTGTCCAAAAATATCAACAAAAAATAACTATCCGTTACCAATAAGGTCTATTTCTCCTTATTAATCATATGTAATATACTTGTGTTTTATGATAGTTGAAGAAACATCACCTGATCTGACTATTGTCACAGAAGAACAGAATGAAGTCATTGAAACTATTAAGGATACTGAGGATGTAATCAGCTGTAATAACATGTCTACTTCTAGTATGGACAGCTGTTTTGAAGCAAATACTGTGTCAAAAGTTATAAATGAAAGTTCCCATGAATCCTCACAGCAATCACACACTCAAGAATTGGAAGATATGCAAGAAACTCTGGGAGATGAAGACAAAATACACATGGATTGTCATCGCTCTGAAGAAGGTAAGATAATGAGTAGTTGAAGTAAACCCTGAAACAGACAAGTCTGTTACAGAGAACAATAACAGTGTAAATTGTATTTTTCTCAACAATGTTGAACAAAAATTTATGTATTTCCAATGGAGAGATATTTTTTATAAATTCTTCAAAAAACAGTGTTGGCAAAGAAGGGACTATATTGCAATATAGGAATCATTTCAAAAAGGAATTAACCGCTAGTTTTTTTTAAATTTGGCTGATCATAGGATCTTGCTGATCATAGGAGCCGGGATCGGTTAAACAGCCCTTTGAGCCTCCTCCGCCATTCAAGATCATGGCTAATTACCTTCTCAACATCCTATTCCTATATTACTCCCATATTCTCTGATGTCTTTAATAATTATAAATTTGACAATGTCCGGCTTGAACTTACTTAATGACTGGGCTTTTGTAGCCCTCTAGGATTAGAGATTCCAAAGATTCACCAAAGAAGTTCCTGTCCATCTCAGCCAAAATGGCTGACTTTTACTCTGAAGGTATATCCACCTGGTTCTAGATTCCACAGACTCTGTTTATCCCTTTAAGAATTTTGTATGTTTCTACAAAATCACCTCTCTTTATTCTAAACTCAAGAGAATACAGCCCAGTCTTTTCAATCTCTCCTCATAGGACTTCCACTATCCCAGGAATCAGTCTGTTAAACCCTGGCTGTACTTGGCACATATATCCTTCCTGAGGCAAGAGTGCTACGCATAATACTCCAGATGCAGTCTCATCAATATTCTATATAATTCAAGAAAGCTTTATTTGCATCTGCAACTTAGTCCTCTACCAAAGTGGATAACCTCACTCATCCACACGATAGTTCATCTGCCATGCTCTTGCCCACTTGCTCAGTCTATCTAACTCCCTTAGAAGCTACTTTGCATTAACTAACAATTCATATTCCCCAAAGTTTTGTATTATCTGCAAACATGGAAATATTACAATTGGCCTCCAAATCCAGATCCTATATCCGTTCTTCCAATCAGAGATCAGCTGTCATGAATACACTGAATCCTTATGAGCAGCTCTTCCCCACCTCCTTCTCCTTTTGCTAATCCCTCTTAAATGTTGATTACCCTTTAATCTTCAGTTACCAATCTTGGTCACTCTGTAGGCACATAATAGCAATTAAATCATATCCTTTTAATTTGTAGTGGCAGCATCAATTTATCTATCTTGTTAGGAATGCTGCCTGCATTCAGATAGAGTGGTTTTAAGTCTGCCTTTTTAACACTATTCTGTTATTTGACTCTGTTTGATGCCAGGAATTGTTTCTTCTGCTTTCCACATTTATTTACATCTATTGTACTTCACATTCTTTCTGAATTTCCTGTTAGGATCCCATCACATTGTTTAAAAAATCTTCCCCAACATCCCTCACAAATCTCTGACAAGCATATTAGTCATGTCCTGCTAAGTTGTAACTTTTCCCCTTTTACAATTTCCAGTGCCCCAGAAATTTAACGCTCTCTCTCCTGCACCATTTTTACAGCCATGTTCGTTCACTCAATCTTCTAAATTTTATCCTCATATTCATTAGCACACGGTACTGGGAGAAATCCCAAGGTTACTGCCTTAGATTTTTAATAGCTTGCCTAATTTCTACTGAAAGGACTTCATGCTTCTTTTTATCTCTGTCATTTATGCCAATGTAGACCATGAGCTCTCATTCTTAACCATTTCCTAAAAGAAAGTCCTGTGGCTGCTTTTTAACATGTTTAATCCTGGCATCAAGGAAGAAACACACCATCCTTGAGTCACATGTTTGACTACAGGAATACCTGCATGTTCCTCTAACTATCAAATCATCTACCATTAATGCCATTTCAGTCTTCTCCCCCTCACTTTGTGCAGCTGAGCCACTTGCAAAGCTACAGGCTTCGCTTTTGCTACATTTCTCTAATGAAACATTACCTTCACCAGAATACAAAGTAGAAAACCTGTTAGTGAGAGCATTAAGCCCAAAGGGCTCTTTCAATATGTTTATGATATGTCTAGACCTAGCAGTTACCCATTCCCTCTCTTCTTGCCTAGTCTTAATCTGTGGTGTGGCCTCTTTGTTAAACACCCTATCCATACAGATTTCAGCTTCATGGATCCAGCCAATGCTTGAACAACAAAATTATGAGCTCAAGCTTTTGTAGCTGGAGACATTTTCTATAGATGTTACTACGTAAGACATGTAGAAACACAGAAATTTTACAGCATGGAAAGGAACCCTTCGGAGCATCATGACCAAACCAGACATCAAGTATCTATCTATTCTAGTTTCATGTTCTGACACTTACCCTATGGTTTTGTATGCTATAACATTTTAAGTGTTCATCTTGAAGGCTCCTGCTTGTACCACCCATTTAGGCAGTGAGTTTCAGATACCCATCACTCTCTGGGTTAAAATATTTTTCTTCAAATCCATTCTAAACCTCTCACCCCTTGTCTTAAAATTGTGCCTCCTGGTTATTGACCCCTCTACTAAGGGTAAAAATTTCTCTCTATTCTACCCTCTCTCTGCTCCTCATAACTTTGTTTGCCTCAATCAGGTATCCTCTCAGCCTTCCCTCCTCTAAGGAAAACAATCCTAAACCATCTAGCTTCTCTTCATAGCTGAACCACTCCAGCCCAGGCAACATACTGATAAATCTCCTCTGCACCCCCTTTAGTACAATTACATTCTTCCAAATTGTCACCACTAGAACTGCACACAGTACTCCAGCTGTGGATTAACTAACATTGTATACAGTTCTACCATAATCTCTTTGCTCTTGTTTTCAATGCCTCAACTAATAAAGGCAAGTATCCCACATGCCTTTTTATTTATCTTATTTACTTGTTGTGCTGGCTTCAGGGATCAATAGACATACACACCAAAAATCTCTCTGATCCTGTATAATTTTCTAATCTCATTATTTGTGTGCTCCTTGTCTTGTCAGTCCTCCCAAAATGGCATAATCTACACTTTTCAGGATTAAATTCCATTTGCCCCTGTTCAGCCCATCTGACCAAACTATTTATATCATTCTGTAATCTAAGGGTTTCCTCCTCACTACTTACCACATTACCAATTTTCATATCACTGTGAACATGCCTCTGATATTCATGTCTACACCATTAATGTGCACAATGAACAGCAAGGAACCCAGCATTGACCCCTATGGTACGTCACTGGTCTCAAGCTTCCAGTCACAAAAACATCCTTCAACCAACATCCTTTGTTTGCTGCCAGTAAACCAATTTTGGGTCCAATTTGCCAAATTGCTCTTAAGTGTCTATTACTCCCTAAATGGAAACAGAATTGGCATTCCATGCACAGAGCTGTCTTGCTATTGTCTTGCCATGCCATAAACAAACTTTCAGACTTTAAACTGGTGATAAGACAGCAGAAAGTAAAATTACTCACCAGCTGGCTCCTATGAATCCAGCACTGTCTTTGAATGACTGTTTCAGGGTCCATTTTTCACTTGCTCCTCTTGATGATGCTGATATCCTGGCTCAGGATCCTTATCTCACCCACTCCTTTAGTTATTGCTGTATGCCTGTCTTGACGTCCTTCCCTTGCTTACTTCATTGAATGCTTCTGACTGCCTGTCTCAGTGTCTTCTCTAGCCTGCTCCTCCAGGTACAGCTGATTTCCCGCTCAAAATCCTTGCCTTGTCTGTTCCACTTGGTATCACTGATTGCCTCTCTTAGATTCCTCCTCTTGTCTGCTTTACTTGATGCTGCTATCTGCCTGTCTCTGGGTCCTTTCCTGTTTCTCTAGGTGGTACTGATTGCATTTTGCAGGGTCCTCATCTCTCCTGCTCCTCTAAATGCTGCTGAATTCTTGCAATCCTTCTACTACCCACTCCTTTTGGTGATGATTACTGCCTGACTCAGTTTCCTCCTTGTGATCACTTCAATTCAACAACATTCTCTCTATAATGTATTTAAATTTTGTGTTTTACTGCAGCTGAAGCTACATTACATGATATGACTAGAGTGACAGAAGAACAGAGCATAGTCATTGAAGCTGATAAGGACATAGAGGACACAACAAACTGCAATAACATTGTTATATCTAGCTCAGAGAGCTGTTCTAAAGTAAACTCTGGCTTAGAAGTCATGAATAAAAATCTCCACATGCCCCTACAACGAGCAACCACTTTAAGACTTGTTGATGTGCAAAGGATGCAAGAGGATGAATTAAATATTGGATCAGAAGCCATGTACAAAGGTCTTCAGGAGCCCCTCCAGCGAGCAACCACTCTAAAACATGATGATGTGCAAAGAATACAAGAGGATGCGATAAACACTGAGCCAGAAGCCATGAACAAAAGTCTCCAAGAGCCTCCACAACAAGCAACCACCCCAGAACTTAATGAAATGCAAAGAATACAAGGGGGTGATGACATAAAGCTGCAAAAACAGAACATTAACAAAGAAGGAAACACAAACCAAAGTAGCTTAGACAAAACTACAGAACATGATCAGAACAAAAATAGTGATGAGAAACAGACATTGGAAGCAGAGCTGCAGAAATGTATTGATGATTTGAAAAACCTTAAAATACCCTCTACCTTCTTGAAGAAACAGAGGCACTGGCAAAATGAACTGCTAAAGAAATATGATATGTGAACCTATAAGAAATAAGTTGAATATTGGAATAAGTATGATGTTTAGTTTCCTTGCCAGCTCTCTCCTGGCAGAGATAAAAAATGAAATGTTGATAATGTAAGTATCACTATGTTAAAATCTATCACAATGTTAAGATTATCAAAACAGCTGGACATTACCTATTTAACAATAAGTAGGTTAATAGATGATGCATTAGTATTTTACTTATCATAATTTTCTCACTTATCTCTTAATGTTCACTCACACTTTATGTTCAAATCCAAATGCAAGGTATAAGTGGAAATGTATTCATTCACATGGCTGTAGTCACAGTTTAATTAACTGTACAGATTCCATTCATGTTTAAAATTAGTAAATTAGTAAGGTGGAACTCAGAAAATCCTAGTTTCCTTTCTAATGAGTGGGCTTATCAAGATATAGATGTGATTTTAAGCAAATTGCCAAGACAAGGCAGATGTCATTTCCTTCAGTAATTTATTAAAAATAAAATATTGAAACTTTACTACAAAGCTTTAAATTTATCATTTGAAGATTACTTGTTATTGATAGAATTTAAGCATTTAATGAGCAATGCAATAGGTTAAATATTGAAAGTTTTCAAAAGGATATAAATAGTTTTTTTCTAATTAACAAAAACAAAGTGATACACTTGCTTGGTTTAAATTTTGCTGGTATCTTTGATTGCAACTGGTTGATCACCGAAGTCAAGATCATAAGAACTATTAAAGGTATGAATAAGCCCCTGGTTTATCAAGTTCCATAGTACATTAATTCTACCAGCCAGGAATCCTACACTTTATTACCTACTCTCTATCCTTAGGACCAAAGGCATGATGAAAAGGGGATCGGGAAAGTTGACCCAGGTGCCTGAAGCAGTATTACTTTATTTGACTACTAGTTATTGAAGCTAATAAGGACATAAAGGACTCATCAAGTCCAGGCGTCCCATTCTCACAAAAAGACAGAGTGATGCCCAGAGGCACCTAGCTGGAGGTAGAACCACACACGGGCTGATTGTGACTCAATTTTCTGATCTGTTGAGCTTTACCTTCTGTTTTTGATTGTGAAAAGGGTATCCGTTGACTGCAGCATTCATTCTTGTATGGGCTGAGGGCCTTTGACGGAGGCTGGCATCTGTGAATTGTCCAGAATCTAACATGACCAGACAGCCCTGGGCTAGACGTCCAACTAGTGCTTGCAGATATCACTGGCTACATTAATCCTACTTCTTAAAAATACTGTGAGCAAGCAGGTAGCCACTAAGTGAGTGACCGGCAGATTTCACTATCTGTCCCGTAAGTAGACATGTGGAGTCTACCAATTGTATATACCAGGCTATGGATCCTCCAATAGACACTATTGTTACCTGCAACATCCCTGGGATTCGTCTGTAGTGCCTTAGCTTTATGTTTTATTCACCCATGGAATAGCATTTAAAGCCCATCTCTTGAGAGGGTGGTGGTAAGCTACCCTCTTCAGCCCATGTGCCGTAGGTAGACCCACAATTTTGTTAGATCCGGATGTCCAGGATTTTGACCCAGTAGCACTGAAGGAATTGAATATATTTCCAAGTCAGGATGGTGACTGGTTAGAGGGACAAGTTGAAGGTGCTGGTGCTCCCATGTATCCGCTGCGTTTGACCTTCTGGATGGAAGTGACTATCGGTTTAGAAAGTTGCAATCTCAATGTTTAGATTCCCTGATGGTTGGGGCAACACTTTGCCGATTATGAGAGGTACCAAGCTCTAGTATTTACAATACAGCAGATCCTTTTTCTGTTGAAGATGCTCCACATCTTTCACATCATATCATTTTAACTGATATTTTTGGGACAATAAGATTATATCAGACTATAAGCTCATTGTATCCTAAAGCACTAAAGGAATAGTGATGGTTTCATATTTACGAAGAACATTCTCAGGATGATGGTCAACTCTGGTCTTAATCAGGGAGTGGAATCACTGATGGGACTCATTAGTACAAAACAATATTTTAGAGTTTATATCTAAGAGCACAAGATAACTGAAGAGCTCATTGTATCACAGCTGCTTTAAGTGTTAACCTTAGTCTAGGGTAGGTTTTGTGCAGGCAATGATATATTTGCAGAGATGAGGACATCAGATCAACAGTTGCAAGAAAAACTCAACATTTTATTGTATACATCAGTCAAATACAAAAACTGGTCAACCCTTGAGAATGTTGCAGCAGAAGGTTTTTTCCAAGCTGTGCAAATCATGCTGGTTACTTGCAATTTTAAAGTCTCAAACAAGATCAGTCATTCTGGAAGTTGGTGATTATGTAGTTCTCATTGTCCTGTGAGGCTTTCCAGAGAACTGTTCTATGTTCATCTCTTTGATTGTCTTCATGGCCCATCTCAGGTGCCTAACATTTATCCACCTCCTCAGAGGTTTATTCTCACTCCTATGTCTCTCCTGAACAATACATCTCCCTTTTGATGCCTATGATTGTGGAGAATGCAGAACAACATTCTGATACAGGACATTGCGTCCAAGTATATTGTGTGGTACCACCTTACTGATCCAGCAATTGGAACAGCATCTTCAGTAGGTACATGGTCTGTACAAAATACATCTGATTGAAATATAAGCAACTTTGTATCTCTGTGAAAGACTGAGAATTCCTTAGAGGTGTTATCAGCCTGGTGTAAAGAGGGTTCTGATGAAGGGTCACTGGACCCGAAACGTTAACTTTGATTTTTCTTCACAGATGCCGCCAGACATGCTGAGCTTTTCCAGCAACTTCGGTTTTTGTTTTTGAAAAGTGTCCGTTGACTGCAGCATCCATTCTTGTATGAGCTGAGGGCCTTTGATGGAGGCTGGTATCTGTGACTTGTCCAGAGTCCATAAGTTAAGGAAGCGCCCTTGAGATAGAGTAGAGAGCTGCATATTTGGCTGTCATGGTCACAAATTAATTAAACAAGTAAATGAAATCCATTTTTGTCCAACTTTTCTGGTTGTTGATAGGGTACTCCCGTGGCTATGTAAGTGTAAATAGTTGCATTGTATACCTGTGAGAAACCAATAATCACCGAGAATCCTAATGCCCTAATGCTACTTAACTAGCTGTATCAAGAAGGTTATAAATATGTGGGCTCTGGTGAATATAGCACCAGTGATTTCCTAGATGCACTTATCAGTAGAGTCCAGTGTGAAATTCCACAGAGGTCCCCAGTTACTCCCTGAAATGACTTGCATCCAAAAACAGCTGTACCATTTATGGCTGTTGAAATGAGACACCTCTCCAGTCATTGTGATGGCAAATCCACATCCAGTCACTGGCATTAGTTTGTTATGAGAGCTCAGGACACCCTTCATTATCTTCTGCAATGGGTTTCAGTCATTTGTGGATAGCTGCACTAGGCCAGTAGATCTGCTTCTGCGCCTGAAGTGCACCCCTCTTTGGTGAACCTTGTCTTGCTGCTTCTCCTTCTGGAGGCTGTGAGGGAGTTGGTGGCAGCTTCTGCTCTTGTTGGGTCTGTAGAAGCATTCTCCCTGCTGTCTTCTGTACCAGTTCTATTGCAGTAGCAGCATAACAAGAGGAGCAGCTGCATTAATCTCTCTCATTGTCTCTGCAGTTGCACCAGATCTGTGAGAGCGTTTTGAGAAACGACACAGTCTTCATAGAGGGATGCTTCAGTCATGACATCCTTCTCCACGAAGCTCCTGGTTATATCCTCATACAGGAGAGTGCTGTGTGTTAGCAAAGAAACAACTAGAATGTGCTGCTACCAATTTAGTACTGCTGCTTACATACAGAGGAGAGATTCTCTCCAAGGATTTCAGAACAGCTTGGAGGCACCCAGGACTGCAAGATTTCCATCATCGCTGACAATAACCCTTCTAACACCCATTAGTTATTATACCTAGGCATTAAGATAAAGCTTTCCCTCTCAGCCACAATTTGCTGACTGCCCTTTCTCCTTACTCTGCTACTGCAGCAAAAAAGATTGCTTTCCAAGCCTCTTAGCAAACATACACACTGATATTCTGAGACTGATACACTTCTACAGCCCTGGTGGGTAGCTGGAAAGTCCAGCAAGACATGTGACAGTGACCATGGAGACACTTGCTGTAGTTGTTGAGCTTACATCTAAATTGAAGAGGCGTCAGGTGTATATGAGTCCAGACTGAAGACTGAGAATTCAAATCAACAGGTATCAAAGATAGTAGAAACTGCAGATGCTGGAGAATCTTGAGATAACAAGGTGTAGAGCTGGATGAACACAGCAGGCCAAGCAGCATCAGAGGAGCAGGAAAGCTGACGTTTCGGGCCTAGGCCCTTCTTCAGAAATGGGGGAGGGGAAGTGGATTCTGAAATAAATAGGGAGAGAGGGGGAGGCGGATAGAAGATGGATGAAGGAGAAGGTAGGTGGAGAGGAGACAGACAGGTCAAAGAGGTGGGGGGGGAGCCAGTAAAGGTGAGTGTAGGTGGGGAGTTAGGGAGGGGATAGGTCAATCCAGGGAGGACGGACAGGTCAAGGGGGCAGGATGAGGCTAGTAGGTGGGAGATGGGGGTGGGGCTTGAGTTGGGAGGAGGGGATAGGTGGGAGGAAGGACAGGTTAGGGAGGCAGGGACAAGCTGGGCTGGTTTTGGGATGCGGTAGGGGGAGGGGAGATTTTGAAGCTTGTGAAGTCCACATTGATACCATTGGGCTGCAGGGTTCCCAAGCGAAATATGAGGTGCTGTTCCTGCAACTTTCGGCTGGCATCATTGTGGCACTGCAGGAGGCCCATGAGGGACATGTCGTCTAAGGAATGGGAGGGGGAGTTGAAATGGTTCGCGACTGGGTGGTGCAGTTGTTTGAACCGAGTGTAGGTGTTCCGCAAAGCGGTCCCCAAGCCTCCACTTGGTTTCCCCGATGTAAAGGAGGCCACAACGGGAACAGTGGATACAGTATACCACATTAGCAGATGTGCAGGTGAACATCTGCTTGATGTGGAAGGTCTCCTTGGGGCCTGGGATGGGGGTGAATGGGGAGTTGTAGGGGCAGGTGTAGCACTTCCTGCGGTTGCAGGGAAAAGTGCCTGGTGTGCTGGGGCTGGAGGGGAGATTGGAGCGGACAACGGAGTCATGGAGAGAGTGGTCCCTCTGGAAAGCAGATAAGGGTGTGGAGGGAAAAATGTCTTTGGTGGTGGGGTTGGATTGCAGATGTTGGAAGTGTTGGAGGATGATGCGTTGGATCCAGAGGTTGGTGGGGTGGTATGTGAGGATGAGGGGGATTCTGTTTTGGTTGTTATTGCGGGGAGGCGGTGTGAGGGATGAGTTGCGGGAAATGCAGGAGACACGATCGAGGGCGTTCTCGACCACTGAGGGGGGAAGTTGCAGTCCTTGATAAACGAGGACATCTGAGATGTTCGGGAGTGGAATGCCTCATCCCGGGAGCAGATGCGTCGGAGGTGAAGGAATTGGGAATAGG